CTCCCACTTCCAACTTAGTTACTCCCACTCTTCCTAGCAGGATTAGCAACCATCCTTGGCTTCTTTTTCTTTTTCTTTCTTTCTTTCTTTCTTTCTTTCTTTATTTATTTATTTATTTTTTTTTTGGCTTCAATAGAAGGTAAGTAACAATGATAAACACAAGCAATGATAAACACAAGCAAATTAATAAAGAAAATATACAAAAATTAAAAATTTTCTGGATTGAAATAGAGTGATGATAGGATTACCTCCAACATTCATGTCAAATAACACATCTGACCGCATATCGAACTAGCAAATACACACATCTTGATTCTCCATTAAATAATAAAAAAAATATCAAAATTACTTGATTCGAGAAAAACCTATTTTCACTCAAAACCCTCAAACTTCAAAGACACTAAATTATTAATTTACTTCTTATTTTTCTTTTTCTTTTCTTCCCCCCCCTTCTTTGTTGTTTATTGCTTTTTCTACAAAAGCATGAAGATACATGAAACAGAAAAATGCCTTTAAAAATTATTGTTCTTCTGTTTCTGGGGTCTTTGATTTATTGATTCATTCCAAACTAGAGTTTATATGGGTTTATGTGTGGTATGTATGGTCATGCTACTACACCCCTTTTGAGATGTGTACCATATGCAAATTATAACATTTGGCCTAATTTCCAAAGGATTTACACTCTAACATGTATCCTAATTAATATGCTATATACTTATTAGAGTTCTATAAACCCTCATGTGTAATTGTAATTGTTTTACATTTTTTCATCACTAATGATGCCCTTTCATAAATGCTATTTTCCCACCACCTCATTAACTCTTTTACAAATAACAACTTCATTTTGGAATTTTTAAAGTTTTTACATGTTGGTTTATGTCTTTTAATTTTTTCCCCTCTCCCTTAGTTTTATGTTTTGGTTGAAATGCTTCATTCCTTATTTTTGGCAGGTAAAAGGAGAGGCCAATACCTCTTACATCTGTGCTTATATTTCGATCGACGGAGTACACAATCATGTAGTTGCTAGTAGATGAAAAAAAGTAGTAATTGCACGATTGATTGTATTTATAATTTTGGGGGCTGAATTAAGAGGCTTTGGGTTGATTGATTTTTTCTATTTTATTTATACATGAGTTTTTTTTTATTTTGTTCTCTTGAATTTATATATATATATATATTCATTCATCACAGTTTTTGTATTAAAAAAAACTAAGACTAAAAGTATAAGGTCAAAGTTAAAAATTGTGACCTTTAACCAATTTTGTAGTAGTGCTCATATATTAGTATTATTTATTATGAATCTAAAGTATCAATGACAGAATAAATATAAATAATAAAATCAAATAATATGCATAGCATTAATACAAGAGAAGCTCTACTCACAACCCAAGATTCAATTGTGAGTGGCAGTGGGTATAGCAGTATGCAAGGGTCCTTAGTGCATCAAATCTTTAGTTAGTGTATGTATATTACTGAATACAACTGTATCAAATCATTCTCCCATTTTCTAATTTCTTGTATTTTGTATTCTAAAAAACAAATTGCTTCCCTAAACATTTATAATTTTCAAGTGCTTTATGTGGTTCAAGCCATCCCCAAACCCATGCAGAGAATAAAAAAAAAATTAGCAAGATAAAATATGGGAAAGTGAACCACAACATAGCTAAAACCAAAGCAAGTAAAACCAGTTAATAAAGATATTCAACCTTTTGACTGTACACCTAAAACGAGACTTGAAGGAGCAAAGGAGCTATACATAACCATGACATCTTTTTTTATTTTTTTCTACAATAGTCCCAAAAATAAAATAAAAAACAATGTCGTTTTTATTATCAATTCGTTTGGTGCCAAAATATTTGGCTCCTTTTTGCGACAAAAAAATTTCCTTACCAAATTACAAATTTTGTCCAAAAAAATTAACTTCTTTAATTTATTTTTTATGGTAATGTGACCTAAGCTACTAGGGTATCATTTTTTTGTTTATGATTAGAATTTTTTTTAGTGTCTTTCCTTTTTACATTGGAAACATAGTCTTTGTTAACTACATTATTATAAAACAAATCCATTCATGTGTGCATGTCGTGCATTTGATGAACGTACTATAACCTTTAAGATTTTTGTTTGTTTGTTTTTTTTTGCTAATCAAAGATATTATGAGTTTATTTTTCTTGTCTTTCTTTACAAGGAATTCTGATTGAAGCCTAATGAATAAACTGACTGATCCTCCAAAGCGCCCGATCACTCCATTCATTTTCTTTTGGTATTTCGTTAATATCTATTTGTATGTAGTTATATATTTTCCATTATACGAATTCTTATATTCATTTTCATATGTTTATAGCCAAGAACAATCAATGGAGTTAAAAAAAGCCCAAATGAAAGTAGACGTGAAGGTAAGTGCAATGTATTCTTGTTGTTTTTAGTATTCCTTTTGTACTTCTAAGCTTGTATGTAATTGTTCATATGATTTTATGCATGTAATGTAGGATATTGGGAACAAATGGAATCAACTTCTTGAAGAAGAAAAAAATAAGTATATACAAATGGGAAAGCTACAATCTGAACAATATGCCCAATTAAAAACTGTGGTCCAACAAAAGCCTCCAAAAGTAAAAATTCAAACCCGGATTGAGCTTACATCAATTTGTAAGATTATTAGAAGGTTGGACAAAGCACAACAACAAGCAGTGACTGACATGGGGTTTCATGGCATCCTAAGCCTTAGGTGCACGCACATAGATCATGACTTGTGCCATTGATTAGTTCAGAACTTTGATCCTTCAACTCATTCATTGAATGTCCACGGTCTTCGAATGCTTCTCACCATAGAAGATGTTCATGAGTTGATGGGATTACCTTCCAATGGTCTACCTGTGAAGCTAACAGAGTCCGTAGATGAAATTACAAACCTATGTGACGAACTTGCGGTGAAGAATAAATTTTTTCCGTTCACATCTCTAAAATCTTATCTGATTGAAACAAAAGATGCTAGAACTGAATTTAAAAGGAAATTTGTCTTATACATCATTGGAGCCCTCTTGTGCCCCACCACAAAGGCAGGCGTACACCAATCATTCATTAAAATGGTTAAAAATGTTGAGTCCATCAGTCAATTCAATTGGGCAAAGCACACACTTGATTTTCTTGTCGACCGCATTGCTATTGCCAAGGTCAAAGAGCGGTCTGCTATGTGCGGCTGTTTGCTTGTTCTAATGGTACCTCCCCTTGATGTGTAATTATTTCATCTATTATTTTTTATTGCATATTGTCTAACACACATTAAAATGACTTCTTTTTTTTTTTTTTTTCCCATGTAGTTATTTTACTTGGAACAATTTGCTCGCAAAAGGGAGTTGGTGGCTACTTCCAACTCCATTCCTCGCTTATCCTATTGGGGAAATTCAGAAATTAAGCAAGGTTTGAATCAAATTAAAGCTTTGGGAGGATATTTAAATGTTGAGGTAAATATTTACAACGCATGACTTTTTATAATTATAGCTCAATTTACATTAAACCTGTGACATTAACAAGTTATTGTATATGTGTGAATAGGTGGCTTTGCCTAACATTGTTGAAAAGTCCAATGCAGTAACTCTTAGCCAGGGAAGAATTGACAAGAATGATGACTCCCGATTGGCTAAAGTTGAGAAACAAGTCATTGAAATTCATGCCCTTTTGGTCCAAGGCCACAAGGACACAAGGCAAGATGAGGATGAGAAGCGTCTAACCAAAGTGGAGAATCAAGATGAAAAAATTCTTGAGCCGTTAGAAAAACACATGCCAGTTGATGGAGAACAAGTTAAAACACCACCAAGCAAACTTCTTGCAGAGCAGCGATTGGTCAAAATGGAGAACCAAGTTGGTCAAATTCTTGAGTTGTTAGAACGACGCATTCCATTTGATGGTGGACATGTTAAAACACCACCAAGCAAACTACATGAGGAGCAATGGAAACTTTGCATTTGAGAAAAACAAAACCAATCCTCACACCACCAAATGCAAAGGCAGTTGCAAAGAAACGAGCCAAATTGGTTGGTGGGAAAGCATTAAATAATGAACAACTTTCTATTCCACAAAAGGGGTGATTGCGCGCAAAAAAGAGCGATACAAAGGCAGTCGAAATGAATGCTGTAACAATGTCATCATCATGTAGTGTTGTTCGTGGTCCTCAGACTCGAGGGACCCAGAATTGCAAAGCCAGTCAGTGGTTGCGTACACCTTTTGTGAAATTTGATGTAATGAAGAAAAGACCATAGTTGAAGCCATCGTCAACTGACAACAACGTTGACAATAATATTCATGACAATCTCGATGAAGTAAACTAAATGATTGTGTCTCAAAACATATTTGATATATGTGTAACAAATAGTGTTTGTTTCTTACTTTTCTTTTACTTGTATCAGCTATTTGATAATTTACTTGATCAACTTGGGGGTAATGTTGTTCCTGAAATCCCAAAGGTTTGGAACTAACTATTATAGTATCTTTTGTATATGTGGTTATTTTGCGCTAACATACACTAACCATCTTCATGAACATACACTAACCAAGCTTGATTTGTTTTATGCACTATTCTTCTCAATACCTTTACAAGTCATCCGTGCCTTTGCCAGACCCATTAAATGACTATGACAGTCTCGTTCTACGATATGCATTTGATGAATCTCTTTCAGAAGGGTACAATTTGACTACCTTTAACTTGTTATGTATGAAGTACTATACCTTCTAACTCACATAGTTATCCATGTGCTAGGGAATATCTTGTACGGATGAAACTGCACTACGTGGAAGCACAATCTGCCACGCGGAAGGAATTGTGGTCCTTGAAACCATATCAGTGGATATCCTCATGTGTAAGACTTTTCTCCTTCTCCTATTTTATTTGCTACCATTCCATCATCCAAGTTACTTTACTTTGCCTATTCATAAATTTCATATATTTTGCACTGCAGATTATAAATCTCATTGTTGTGAAATTGACAAATAAACAAAGGAAAAACTTTCCAAATAAGGATCACAAGGTTTGGTACTTTCCGACCCATGTATCGGTAAGTATTAGCCATACCTATAGACTTTTTTTATTTAGGCACAAGTTATTTATATGTTAAAATTGAATATACAGCAAAAGATTTTGTGTCAACCTTCTGATGACACAATGAAAGATATAGTAGAAGATTATTTTGGAATTTACAGATACACTGGCCCCCTTCATGCTTGTGAGGAGGTAACATGATAAAATACTACTATTACCCAATTTCTAAATTTACCATGCACAATACCATTTGATCCATGTTATGTATTTATTTATTTTTTGCATGTACATTCGACGTTATATTTTTAGATTTACATGCCCTTCAACCATAGGGAAAACCACTGGTTGTGCTTGAATGTAAACATGGAAAAATGGGTTGCCTATCTATTCGACTCCAGCAGATGTATTGACATCGATGAGGATCGAAAAAATCAAGCTACATTATTGGTAATAGAATAACCATTATGATACCACTTGTATCCACTTTTTTCTTTCTTGATCTATGTACCTTACTACCTACCACCAACAGGTACAATCATTGCATAAGCTGCTTCAATATGCGCATGGAGAAGATTATGTTCAAGATGTTAGTTCATTTGCATTTCAATGGTTGGAAGACATGCCACGCCAAGACAACAGGTAATACACTACATTATCGTTCTTAATTTTTTAATAAGCATTAATGTTATAATCTCTAAGTTCGTTGACTCTATTGTTACAACTACACTCATTCCTATAGCTATGATTGTGGTCTTTCGTCATCAAATATATGCAAGAAAAACCTTTGCCTTCGGGTGTAATCAAGGTACTTACATTTATACCCAACTGTCCACTTATCAGTATCTTATGTTTTATGAAGACTAATTTTATAATGTGTGATGTTTTTATGTACTCACTACTTTTGGCATGTAGTTTGACTATTTGCATAGGGCTCGCTTGTTACTTGATCTTGTGATATACAAGCATAATTCAGCTCCTATTGTTGGTGATATCGCGCAATATAAAGCTGGTGATGCTCTATTCTTTTTTATTTTTCATAAGTTCGTACAATCAATGACGTTATCGCATTTCTTAAACTCGTGAACTTTGAGTTTATAACTCAACCTTTGTTATAAAATTATATTCTCAAGTGTGCTATCTTGTGCAGAACTCAGAGCTAGGGGTGAATTGAAATGGAAGTAGAGGCTAACATGAGCTGGAAATTAGATTTTGTTAGTGAGACCTATGATGGTATGTCTGTTTTGAAATACTTAAACTAGGATGAGTTTTGCAGATCTTATTGATGTTTGGAATGGATGGAGGCATTATCAATACATCATTACCAACTTCATACTGACTTTGTTGGTCATTTTATTAAGATAGTGCCAACCACTATTTATAGGATAAAAGACACTACAAGAAAAAGAGGATACAATGATTTTTTTTATGACGTTTTTAAAAAACGTTGTGAAATCTGTCCAGATTTTTCAGATTTGACTTTTCCAATTTGTCAAATTATACTTAATAATTTTTGCACCTTCATCTTGTCTACTTCTCTGGGATAGTTGTTGTACAAACAAATAAGAGTTTGTTCAGTTAAAGATACAATTTTTTTGCTACATCCTCTATCATTCGTTTTTGTTTTACTTTACTAAGTGCTTTGAGATGGCATTGTTGTAGGCTTCTTGCGGGTCTTGGAGCAGCCACGACAGGAATATGAGAAGCCCTTTGAGATGGTTGGTGCATCTATTATGCTCTGCCTTTTATCCATTCCCTACTATTCAATTTTTTTTTTTCTAGCCATCCATCCCACAAGTTTTCAAGACCTTGATTGCTTTTTACTATTCAACATAATCTTTAAATGGAAGGAATCAGTGAATTTGGTTATACCTTTTGAAAGTTATTTTATTGCTTTTAATAGCTAAACTTTGCTTCTCTTTTTTTTTTTGTGTGGAAGAAAATAATATTTTTAAAAATATCAATTATAAAGTAGCTTAATTTTTATTGAAATTTCCAGTGAAAAATCAATGAGTTGTTTGTTGCTCAAGTATTGTTAGGTTGAACAAGTTGTCTTACAATCCATTTTGTGCGTGTGTATGTCATTTTAGTCACATTATATCATTTTCTTTCCTGGGAATTACCAGGACAAGACAGGAGGCAATGAAAGCAACCACTACATTTTGGCTGTTATTCTTTTTTAGGTTGATGATTGCTCTTTGGATATCATCTTATGTGATAATGGGTCTGATCTTATATTTTTTATTTTTTCAGATAGTGGTCTTATCTTTTATTTAGATATCAATAACACTAATATTTTTGCTTAGTTATGATAATATATATATATTCTTAATATTTTTGAGACGGGTTCCCTCACCATTGTTGGGGAATTGTGTTAATAGACCAAAACAGGTATTACAACATTACAGCAGTGGGATGCTATTACAGCAGCCAAAGTCAAATTATAACAAAGACCTCTCTAAAACTCCACTCCAATGGTCTGTCAATGCTCATGCCAAATTATAACATTGCAAAACTTAGCTATTGAATTGAATTGAAGAACATTGCCAAATTACATCTGTCACGACTCCAAACCGCCCCTAGTAGTTTGGTGCCGTGATGGCCAGTAATCCGAGATTGCCGAAGGCCAACTGACAAGATTCACACACAATCAGAGTACAATAATATGGGGCTGACAAGTACGGAAGTGATTTATACAAGCAGATTAGTCCATAAGAGTTGTGCATAAGTCAAATGAGATAACAATCATCTGCAGATGGGTTACAACTCAATTACAAACGAAATAAAGTACAAATTACATCTTTCATACTAACAAAAGGCTTCACAAGCCGATATGAACAAAATACATGAAATATAACTAGAAGCAAAATCTTCAGAATTGCCGACATCCTCACTGCCGACATAACAGGTACAAAACACGCATCTTGATCAAAAGGCTTCTCAAGCCGACGTATGCAACATGCAAGTATTACAAATCGAGAAACATAATTTTCAAGACTGCCGACGTAATTACAGGTCCTTTCAAAATAATACAAGACAAACTCTATATATAACAAGGAATGGACCTCGTCCATCTAACAAATCTTCAAAGTTTCAAGGGATACTTACTAGCATCACATATTACAAACAAAAACATTCCGGCAAACATATCCACGCGGTAAACCGTCTGTGGCAAAGCAAGACAAAGCAAGATAGGCATATCAAACGAGGGTGGTACAAAAGTTTAGAGTCCTCTAGCACAAGGGACTTTGAAGACAAGATGTGCTGCTAAAGTTTAGAGTTCTCCAGCACGAGGGACCTATGTTACAAAGGCCCATAGCCCTTTAACACTAGAGTACAAATCAAGGGTGCTGCGAAAGTTTAGAGTCCTCCAGCACAAGGGACTTTCAAACGAGATGTGCTGCGAAAGTTTAGAGTCCTCCAGCACAAGGGACTTTCCGAGAAGGTCATTCAAACAAATATGATACGAGATACGAAACTAAAGACAATCATTCATGCTTAACAAACATCTTTCAAGACAAGCAAAGCAAAGTTCTTCAAAACATTGATAACATAACTTTATCAGAAATACCACTCACCTAGTTCTTCAAACGTCGGGGTCAAGGCAAGTCCAAGTCCTCAAAACTCGAATCCAACGGTTCAAGCTCCAACGATCAAGCTTGGAAGTCACCCTCTTTAACTCAAACTTCTCCCCCTTCTAACTAGAGCTTCTCTCTCTAAAAAGGCAAGATTGATACCAAATGTATGTTTCACACGACAAACACTGACTTAATCCCTCTGTCGGGACACGTGGCATCGGCTGATTCGCTCAACTCGAAAAGGTGACTGACTTGACAAGACAAGACTAAGACAAAGCGTACTCAACAAGCTAGGCGGCACGAATACACCGGCAAGTAAAGACATCGGCTAACAACAAGACTCCGGAAATCAAAAGGGCAAGGACATCGGCTTGGAAGGACAACACTTGACTAAACTGTGCCACACCTTGGCCTAGATGTGCCACACCTCGGTCTAGGTCGTACCATTCCAGGAACAAAATCACTCACGCAAGGATCAAGGATCTTGAACGCCTAGATATTAACATCTCGGCCCAGATGATGCACATCTCAGCCTAGGCTACGCGCACCTCGGCCCAGATGATGCACATCTCGGCCAATATACCAAGGGGAAGATGGGGGTTGACCAAAGGGGTTCCAAGATAGTTCTAAGTGATAGAGGTTTCAAAGGTGTCAGGCTTAAGATGACCTCAGCAGCACACCAGACAAGAACAAAGCGTGTAAGCAATCACTCAAGCAAAATAAGACAAGATTTGCAAATGCACGTATTAAAACAAGATCATCCACAAATGTATGCAAGTATGACTAAGTCAAAATGAGGGTTGTTACAACATCACATACCCCACCTGCTTTGGTAGCTCACTGATATGTCTGATTGCATGAATAACCTACCATTTGTTGATGATCAATGCTTGTTTCTTGTGATGTTTTCCTTTCATTTGTTGATGACTTTTTAACCATTTAAAATAAGTAATAAATAAAGGGAGCCTTAGTAGCTTAATTTTTCAACCAAAAGGATTTTCAAAAAAGAGCGTTAAATTGAGACATAAGAGGGTGAGTTTGGCATAGATCTTTCCTACTGCACAACATGGGCTGGGGGCCAGATTTACACCCCTAACTCTCTCATTAGTTAATTTCACATTATTTATTGGACTACTCTCTTAATTCAATATCCCGTTAGTTAATTTTACATTATTTATAGGAACACTCTTTTAATTCAACTAATAAAAAAAATAATATTAGAAATCACGAAAAAATATCATAAAATATTTTATAAAAAATTTTCGTTCTTTGATTAATGTGAGATATTTTATTATATATGTGATGTAACGACAAAAAATCTTTCATAACCATTTTTATGATCCCTATCATTACTTTAAATTGTTTAAATAAATTCACTCCTTTGCCATGTGGTTGACAACGCAGGCCGTGGTAGTTGGGTTGAAAACTTGAACATTCGTTTTTCTGAATCTCTAATAAATTATAGTTTTATGAATTCTAATAAATTATAAATTAAATTAGATCTGTACATATGATAACGTGAATCACAATCTTATATGGATAAGATATGGGGGCTTACATAGAGATATGGAAACAGCTGGTAATTTAGGTTTCCTTTATTTTAACGTAAAACATTTAAATATTTGTTTGTTATTTGACTAAATAAAAAGTAAGTAAAATATTTTTTAAGCAAAATATTTTTGTATCATTTTTAAAAAAAATGACTTACCTTTTTCAAATAAATATATTAACTCACTAAAAAGTCATGAATTACACTTTATTAAATCAAAATTTCTAAATTAAGTAATAAAATATTTTTGTTTTAAGTGTCAACCAAATGCCGAAAAATAAAAAATAATATTTTTCTATATAAAATCGATGCATTAAAAAAAATATTTTACGTAGAAACAGAAATATTCTTTCCATTTATACCATCAATCACATCCAAATAATATTGCACAGTTTTTCTTCTAGTCTTCGTCAAGTCCATACAACTATTTATTCAATTCAACTCTTTTGACGAACCTGGACGGAAGATCAACAATATTGAAAAGCGAGTTACTACTGCAAGGTAGTGTAGGATTTCTTACAACCTCGTCTGGTGAATGATAATTCCTTACAAAATTCTTTCTTCAAGAAAAAAAAGAAGTGTGCATACAAAATATGAACTTCCATACAGCAAAACAAATATCCATCAACCATCATTTAAGAGTATTTATACAAAATACTAACAGATTTAAGTTCTCAAAAAAATTAAAAAAAAAAATCTTAGTTTAGCTCCCAATATCACCCGCTCGATCATATCAACTATTACCCACATTAACACCTGCATAAACAAACTATATTGTTGTTAAGGTTTGTTCACTTGAAATCTATGATTCAAATCATAACAAATTGAATTTTGATATATTGGTCATTACACTCTTTTGTCATTTTCTGTTCGTAAATTATTTATTTTCATAATCAAGTTGTAAGCATCATAATTAGTTATGATATCTAAATGTTCTAGCTAAAATCTATCTTGGCATATCAAGAAATTAGAATTAAGCAGCCACACATGAAATTTGCAAAACAAATGTAAGCAAAATGAACATAATTTGAACTGAAAAGATGCCATAAAAGTAATCACTTAGAGACATATCCACATCAGTGAACGCTGAATTTTGGACGACTTGTGCATCGCAACTACGCAAGTCATTAACATCCTTGCTCAACTGCACTGGAGATGCATCCACATTAGTGACAAAAAGTCGTCTCTTCACTGGGTGGGTCTTACATGGCCTCATATTATTCGTGGGACGCTTCGGTGCAAAAGGGGTGGGAGTACCAATTGGATAATAATCATCATATTCCTCAAACAAATTGCTACCCACTTGTCCCGTTTTATGATCGTTTTGGGGGCAAGTTCTCCTTGTGTGGCCGACGACCCTACATTGTCAAGTAAATCACCAATCATTAAAGAGAACAAAAATGCCAAGACTACCTCACAATAACAAAATTAAGACACAAAGCACAATATAATGTATACCTGCAACATTGGCATCGCCTTGGCTTTCGAGGTTTAGCCATGTAGGATCCCCCAGTATTCCCCTTCGTGTTCACTACTTTCGGATCCCCAACCCCAAATGGCGGTAGTGAACTTTTTCCTTCATCAACATTAGTTCTGTTGGCCATGCAAAGCTGCTTCATCCGACATGTCATAGTGAAAAATGCATTCCTAGCCTCTTCAAATCCTTCAGAT